GCCTTTATGAAAGTATGAGGCATTTCTTTGTCAGCTGCAGTTCAGCGCAATACATTTCACATTGCCAGACCACTGTATTGATGCCTCCTACGCAACTACAAACTACCCTCTTATTCATTCTACCTTGAGAAGTGCTGATAAGTACATCTGGCTTCATGTGCTTCACACATCCTCCCAAACCACTTGGCCTTGTTAATAGTTAGTTCTCTAGCTTGCATTGCATCAAAATGTATCAACCCCTGAATTAAGAGGTTTTAAGTTTCCGTTGAAATGTATAATTAGAATATTGATTATTTTAAATTTAACAGAAGCAGAGATGATTGAGTGTAGGCAAAAACTGTTTTAGAGGCAAAGTAAATCAACTTGTGAAGAGCTTTGTGATGCAGAACTCAATCAGTTAAAGTTGGATCAGCAATCTTAAAATACACGAGGGACAAATTTACAATGCAAATTTAACTTAAAATATAGAGTATAATAAACATCATTAGAGAGATCACAAATTGATACTGTTCTACTCCTATACACCATGCCTTTGCTACACACCTAGATAGAAAGTCAAAAGTCTTCAGCAGTAAAGAATTATGTGATATATAAACTGAATAAGTGAAAACTGGCCTTTATGGCAGAGCAGTGTTGTATGTTTATTTACATAAAGAGTGAAATTAAGTGTAGTTAAAATTACGTGGAATATTTTTGTCCAGTGTTTGTTTATTTGCCTTTCAAAACTGTTGAATTCTAACATGAATTTCTGTATATTTTGAAACTAATGTTTATTTTCTCAGTCTATTTTCTCTCTGTTTTATTTCAGTTAGGTGTTAAAAAAGTACTAGTTTAACTTAAAAATTCCCATGCTATGCTTTGAATAGAATGAGAAATATTCTTTTGATGTTCGTAGTGACTTTTCATCCATAATGTGAATTATGCAGAGTTGCATAATTGGTTGGCTTTTTTTTTTTTATTGTTATATGACTGGATTTTTTTTTTTTTTTTTTTTTAATTCAAGAGTAAATTTGTGTTTCTGTCAATCAGGGACAATAGACCATTTGCTCAGGGATATGTTTTGCTAGCAACTCTGAATAAGAATGGAAGTTCATTAATAGAGTATTTAAATGCTAGATGTACCATGAAGTACTCCCATATTTTAAATAGTGTTCAACCTCGTCTGTGATAGCAGAGACAGAGCTTTTCTATTAGCTAGTGTGATGATATCCATGCCACTCAACACTTATTTCTATATTAATGATCTTCTGCCTGCCAAAAGCAGCACGTTGTGTAGTTTTTTTTTTCAAGTCCCTATTCACCTGAAATAGCTTGCTTTCTATTTAACTCTGTCTCAATTTAGAATGTGATTCAGAGGTCTACAGTGAAAAAATATCGGCCCTTTAAAGCACATGGAAGCAAGAACTAATCCTGAGGGATCTTCATTCTTTGGCTTTTAGACTCTCAGCTCTCCAGAGCAAAACCTATCTCTGTATGTTACACAGTGTCAACCACATTGTCAGCACCTAATTAAAAAGCAAGAGGATGGAGGCAAGTGAAGCTGCCTTTTTCACACCTCTGCTGTGATTATTGACCTGTTAAATGCTGCTTTTCTTACTTTTTATGTTCTGTGATGAACTGGATACCCCTTCAGTATAAAAGGCTAGGGTAAAAAAAACAAACCAGCCTGAAGGAAAAGCTTAGATTAGAAGGAATTACAGAATTGTGGAAAACTCAGGCTGGAAGAGACATTCCAATTTCATCTCATCCATCTCTGTGTTCCGAGGCAGAATAAGCATATCTGTATCATCCCTGACTGATTCTCATGTTGAAAATGCATGCATAATACTCTTGTGTAGTCATTCTAGCACTTAACCAGCTTTACAAGGAGATTTTTTTCCCCCATTATATCTAACCTAGATATCTCCTTTTTAATACTGTGTTTACTCACTGTAGTCCTTCCTTTGAAAAAAGAGGAAGGCTCTCATGTTGTGAGCCTTCAGTCATCCCTCTGTACTAAACAGAGTTCTTACAACTTTTCATTTTAGTTCACGATTCTAAATTTCGTCATTCTTGTTCTCATCAGAATTTTCTCCATTTTGTATATAACCTTATTAAAATATGATACATAGAATAAAACATCATATTCCATCTAAGGTCTTACCATTGCTAAATGAAGCAGAATAATGCCTCCTTTATCTTGTATATGACTCTCTGTTGACATACCTAAGAAAATTTTTCTTTTGGAAACAGACAATGTGATAACATTTTTGATTCTATTTGGCTATCAATCAGAGCATCCAGAACCTTTTATTCAGTACTGGCAATTTTTAAACTTTTTTTTTCCTCTTTTCTTCTTTTTACTCCTTACCTTTTTGAATGTATAGTTAGTTACTAAGAATAATGATGCTGTTATGTACTCGTGGTTACTTTGTTTGCATCAGAATATGCTATGTTAAGGAGAAAATTGTAACATTCAGTACCCATGAGGACTGCTGTGTTTTTACCAAAATAAGATAAAATTGGAAGGGTTGTTTTATATGTTTCCTATAAGCATTGTTTTGATGCATATGCATTGCATGTTAGCTGGATACTATAGTTATTAACTGACTTGCTGTTGTGTGATAATTTGGGGATGACTCTCACTTCTCAACTGTTCATCTGCTGATCCAACCTGCTTTCTGGGGAGGTTTGCTGCTTGCCAGGGTAGACTCTAGCATGCTGCAGAGAGACTGTCAAGGCTTGCCCACTCCTAACCCCTGCTGTTTTTCTACACATACACCAAAGACGAGTCCAGGAGATACCTGGAGAACCTCAGGCCTAACTACATGATGCTGGAGGTGGTGGTCAAGGACATGGGTGGCTTAGGTGGTGTCTCCTTGATCCTGCTAACCTGCTGAAGAAGGGAAAAGCCCTGGGAAAAGGGAAAGGATTCTGTGGGTCAAGACCCAGTTTCATGGCTGGTATCAACAACAAGGTGTTACCTTTTATCACCATGGAACCTTTTTGATGATCAAGGACTGCTAGGAAGAGACAGGATCCACCTGAGCACATGGGGAAAAAGTGTCCTTGCCAAAGGCTGGTGAGGGGAGCTTTAACAGGCAAGTGAGATGACAACCCATAAGTGAGCGAGGAAGTGGACTGGGCTGACAAGCAAATGGTGTGGGATTATATGGTCAGGAAACACCTTGAAAAAAACAAATCAGGGCACAAGGGTGACCATTCCAAGTATGTCCACATAAATAAGGAAATGCTGAGGGTACACATTGTGGGGAAGCTCTCATACCTTTTCTGGGAAATCAGCATGACTGGATGACCATATGAAGTGTCTGTACGCCAGTGAACATGGGCAACAAGCAAGGCATTAGAGCTCTGTGTGCAGTTGCAGGGCTACGATCTCATTGGGATCACAGAGACATGGTGGGATGGCTCACATGACTGGATTGCTGCAATGGCTGGATGCAGGCTCTTTAGGAAGGACAGGCTGAGATGGTAGGGAAGGAGGGTTGCCCTTTATGTGAGAGAGCAGTGGGAATACGAGAAGTTCTGCCAGGATTAGCGGGCAGATCAGCATAGGTGATGTTGTGGTGGGTGTCTGCTATTGACTGCTGGATCAGCGTGAGGTCTTCATCAGACAACTGGAAAAAGCTTCACATTTTGTGGTCCTCATGGGAGAGGTATCTGTAGAGAGCAACACAGCAAGGCACAATCAATCTGGTAGGTTTCTGGAGTGCATTGTGTCACAGAAGGAGTGAGAGAGATGCACTTCACTCATAAGAAAGAAACAGCAACATGTTTATTGAACAAAGTTCAATGGTAAATGTGACAGTGGTTTAACAAGATTCGATGGCAACGTACACTTGCTTATTTATTGCATAGAGGACAGGAAAACCAAAACTGACCTGGAGTTGGATCTAGTAGGTTAAAAAAATTTTTTTGGGGCAAGTATTCCTCTACCTCTTTAAATCAAAAATATGTCATCTTCTCAGCTACTATTCCCTAATTCTATGCCACTGAAGCTGCGACTGGGAAATTCAACCTAACTAAAGTATGGTATTGTCTCTAGTATCTACCATAACTGCTGTGACACCCAGTAGTTAAATCCAGATCCAAAAGTTCTGTAACTTTGGTTTTTGTTTCTCAAAGTGAAAATGTGATGGATGAAATTTTGAGATAATGGAGTTTGGAAATCATTACAGGATGCAATTGCAGGGGAAAATGGAAAGTGCACAGTGACAGCTTTAAAATATTCAAAATTAAGGAGACAGAGAGTATTAATTTATCTAGGACAGACTAAATAATATTTTATTTGGGGAAATATATGTTAGGTTATGGAATGAACAGAGGTAAGTGAAAAACAGAGGGTAAAAGGAATTACAGATTCAGATAGTTAAACGTCCAAGTACTCTAAAGGAAAGCACTAAAAGGTGATTAATATTTTAAGTTCTGAAATTTTCCCCTCTGCAGAACCTCTTTGTGCTGCTTATATTTTTAATGATGAACCTTTCTTTCAGCTGGCCTGTCAGACAGGAATATAATTTATAACTTAATAAGGACAAAAAGAAATGGAAAGGAAACATTTGGTAAAAAATACTGATGATATATTGATTTCTTCCATTTTCTTACCTGGTACCAAGCTGCTTAACAAACTTATGAAATAAACTGAATCTTTTCTTCTTCTCCAAGATATTTTCAGTCCATAAAACAATCCACTAAAGTAATAACTAGGATCTGAGATGCAGGACAGCAATTCCCCACAGTGCCTCCTCATGCTGCACTCCTGGGCGTTATAACGCTTGTGGGGCTGGGAAGCATGGGTGTGCACCCTGTCCATCACCTTGGCACCGTTTGTTTTCCCTCTTGAGAAACATTGGTTCAATAGTTGTTCTTAGGAGCCAGTTTGATTTTTCACACCCTTTCCCTCCCCTCTACCCTGCCTTTTTTCTTCTGTGTGGCTTAAAATATGATATCCTCTGCTCTGCCTGAAGTCCGACCCTCAGGAGCCTTGTGGAAGATGTGAGCAGGTAGGCACAAATGCACACACAGGCACACGCATGCGTGCTGTGACATGCAGTTTCTCAGTACAGCATTTCTCTTCATCCACTGTGAGACAATAATATGGATCATTAACAATAAGTGAAAGCTGAGCACAGTATCCTGTGTCACTCCTTCTTCTGCTCATTGAACTCCTATAGTTGGTAAATTCCCTTCATCCTGAACTGATGAAATTCCTGGAGAGGATGGAAATTTGACATTCTAACCTTTTACATCTTCAAGACTCTCCCTCAGGTGAATCCTGGCTTACTCCATTATATGCTTTTATCAGATTACTTCTTCCCCAACAATCCAATTCTCCTTGCTGGAAGTTCATGAATGTTTATACCTGAAGAGAAGATGATTTTCTCACTCTTATTAGCACTATATTCTTTCACTCTCTCTTTGCCTTCTCCTTTTCCTTGCACTCTAGTTAACTAAAGTTCAGCTTAAAAGAGTAAAATAACAACAAAGGGTAATGGAATATACATAAACAAACTGGAATTGACAGGTGAATTACAATTGTGTACTAAGTGTTTGTAATGTCATGCAGAATTAATAATTCGTACAGAAAGATTCACCAAATTGTCACAATATAATTTAATATGTATTTAAAGGGGTGTTTTAAGGGTATAGGAGTATAAATACTTTTTCATTTTAACTTTTAGGATCCAAAGAGTTGCTATTAGAAAAATACATCCTTTTCAAACACTGCAGTACTGCTAGTTTCTGAGTCTGATTGTAGAACTAGTGTCAGTAGCTCATTAGAAATTAAGATCTTTACTGTTCCAACTTATTTAATAGCTATGCATCCATGTTTCCCTGTCTCATCCAAAAAAGAGCAAAACCATTTTATTAGAAACTCAACAGAATTGTGTGGTATGTGGTAATACAGTTGGAAGACGTTAGTTTGGGAGCTAAATATAATTCCATATTTAGCCTACTCAGGAAGGGTGAAGGGGTCACTCTTGAAGTATTTTCTCATCTGAAAGTTGATTTTCTTGGTGAAAAGAAGAACCCCAGAGAAAGTTCATCTTCATAAAATTTTAAGCCTCCTTTTCATTTGCAATTTATTTTGTCACTTCTTATTATAAGCAGAGGAAGAAGATTGTGTTTGTATGCAGAGCTTCAGCAAACCAAGTGGGAATCTGTCTCTGCTGTAGAGCTAAGTTAGCTTTGCAGGTTTGAAAAATCTGCTAAGGCCATTAGTTTTTTCTGATGGAGAGCATTACTTCCTAAGGGTAGCTGCTTTGAAGGTAGCTCTGTTACCATCAGCCTGAGCAGTATGAGCTTGTCCTGACCTTGTGGTACCTGGGACCACATGGAAAATATCTGTGTGCTGGGATGGCTGAGCGTGAGGTGTGACTCCCCGCATTTGTTACTCGGCAGTGTGTGTGCTTGCCTGCAGCAGCTGATGTAACTCTTGCTGTATAGAACCAGCTCTGGTAGTACTTAACCTCTGCTAAGCTTTAAGCCTAAACAGAGATGCAGAAACTTGCTAAGCCAGAAGAGTGTTTCAATGCATTTTATTTTACTGTGCTGAATTTTGCCTTGCTGAAGTTGCAGAACTGGTGTTGAAGTATGAATATTGTTTCCTTTGTGTATGGTTTTAAAGCAGGAGGAATGCATGAGATTTATGTGTAGTCCAGAGTGAAACTCTGGAACCTTGTGTAAAATTATAAATCTGTGACTGGTGAAGCTTGCAGTGAACAGTACTTAAAATGTAATGGATACTGACTTTAAAAATGAATAAACTAACTGAAAACAAGTACAGGCATCTAAGCAACTTTCCTTTGAAGGAACAAAGCCAGCTAATCCTATCAGAGACCAAAAGAACAAAAGGAATATTAGAAGTGGACAGGAACCAAAAAGTAGAAAGTCTGAAAATCTCTACCCAAAAGAATGCGGACCCAATGATTATGTAATATTCATTTTGACTTCTAATTGCTTGTAGTAAGGGCAGGGGGAAAAGGCAAAAAAAAAAAGATTACACCATTATTTTATTTTCCCTCCAAAAGGAATTTCTTAACTTCATCAGTTTCCTTGCTGCAGAATTTTAGTTCAGTATCTTTATCCTTTAAGTCCCGGGAAGTTGGTTTACACGCTTTTATACCTCTATATTTCTGAGATTTGCTTTCCAAGAAAAATATTCAAATATTATGTTTTTAAAAATATGAAAGCTTACATTTTTTCTCTTTTAAATGTCCAATAGCCCTAATGCAGACAGAAATATGTATAACTGCAAAATATGATGAGATAACATCCTGCCAAAAGAGATGCGGGGAAGACATCAAACACAGAGCACTTCTTTCCTAAGCAGAGGCAAATGCACCTACTGTGAGTGCTGTCACCTCCTTCTGCTTTCTGTCCAGGAGGAGAGACTACGTGGCCATGGCAGGGGCCAGAGTAGGCAGCAGTGGCCGGAATGAGCAGCGAGCAGGAGAAGTCCATTTTTATCAGATGCAATGATACATTTTTTTAGCATTTCTGAAATGTTCATACATGGTATGCCACCTTGGGTTGTGCGTGTGCGGGGGTGAAGGCATGTGGGTATGCCTTTTTCCCTGTAGAAGTATTTCTCAGAACGGGAGGTTCTCATCCCCCGCATACAGGCTGAAAGCAAAGAAACTGTGTTCAGAAAGGTGCTAAATAAAGTCAGTGGTTGAGCAGAGGAGAGGGAGGATGAAAGAATTATGCTGATGCTGGTGTCAAAATAAAATGGGACAATTGCTTAAAACAAAAGCCTGGAACACTTTAGTGTACTTGGAAGATTTAATTAGAACTATGTAGGCCTGATTCTCCACTGCTTGTGCCTTACATAATCATCTAAGTTGTGCAAGGTACCATATGGTAAGAAGGGGAGCGATTTACATCTTTCATCAAGAGTGAAAATGCTTGAATGTTGCTGCATGCTGTCAAGTTAAATACACATGCAATGCAAAAAAAAAAAAAGTGTCATGATGTCTGTGTTTGAAAATGGTTATGATAGAATGTACAGCATCTGAGAATCTCAAAACTGTTTCTATTTTAATGTGGTTGTTTGTACATAGTTCTCACTATCCTCTGGAAGGTGGGAGGTATCATCATCATCTCCATAATTTCCCTAATAAGCATGTTTAGATAGGAGAAACACTTGGCGTTCAGGGTAGCATTGGCATGAAATGAATAGGACAGCAATGATGGACCCAAGAGCAGATGGGGGAAACTTCAAGGCTCCTAAGGAGAACATGGGTAGCAGTAGGGCTTGCTTATAGCAAAAGAACACAGCAAAGACTGCACAGTGAAGAAGACAACACTTCTCAGGGAAGAATATGTGGTTTATTGTAAAGCAGGCAGTTGATGGAAGTTAGTGGTCTGGAAAGTGGGACAGGAGGAAAGGATCTGACCTGTAAGAATATGATGGGAGAGAGAATTGGTTTCAATTACCTTTTCATTTACCCCTCTTCCCTAGAAGATATGAATCTGGATCTGCAGACCAGAATCTGCTAGATATAAAAAAAATTACTTTTTCTAGTGTAGTGACTTTTGAGGGACTGCACTACAAGGAACATCTTTTGCAAGTGTAGAGTCCGATTTAAATAATACTTAGACTTCCATGTGTAAATTCTTGCTGGAACTAACATGATATCTTAAATGATTACCCAGCCTTGGCAGTCGTCTTCAGTAATAGAAAATTAACTGTCTTTGGCAAGCTGTCCAAGGAGTCAATTAGCTCCACTGTGTTGTAACTTCTGTTTAGTTTAGAGAATTTTTCTCTCTTCTGTCCTTGTCTATCATTAACTTTCTGTCTTCTTGACTGCAGCCTACATGGATCTTCAAGTTCTTCATATTAATTCTTTTTAGGTAAACTCATTAGACACAGCTCATTTTGTCTTTCAGCATTTCAAAGTGTTAATCATGCTTCTGGTCTCCAAAGGCAGAGGAAATGTAATTTTTCTGTGCTGTGTTCCATTGATAAAGAATTGCAGGCTAGACTTTTTCATTCACTGTTTCATAAAGACTGCACAAGTCTCAGAAGTCACAGAATTCCACAATGAAGTTTCCATCCTGTCAACATGAATGGAATCACTTATTCCTAGATTTAGGATAGTATACTTGCCCACATGAAATCCTATTATTCTTGCACCTAGCTTAGAAGGTAGGCCACCCTGTATTGATGATTTCTCCAGTACCGATAATTTTGATAACCCTGGCACTACCAGCGTCCAAAGCAATACAGTTTACCAACATTTTTCCCTCTAGATTTTTGATAAAAATTTTATATCCAGGAGGATCTAAATCTAGCTCAGTCTTGCAGTGTATTCTGTTCCACTTCGACTGCTACTGCAACCATCCCATCCCTTGAATTTGGCTACTTCATTTTAAAACTCTTTTTTTTAAAAACAGATTTTAATGCATTTAATGACACTCACTTTTCCTATACAATTTTAATTTTCTGTCTTTGCTTCCAGTTGTTAAAATACATAGAGGTGAACACATTAAAAATATATATATGTCTTTTCGACATAAAGACATCTAATAAAAAGAGAAACTCATTGAACAGCTTGAAAGATCAGTCCTTTTACAGTGTAGGAAAAACGGCCTGATTATTAATCTTTTTCAACACTGAAGTCTTCAAAAAGATGACAGTCCTAGTCCTAACTTATGAATATATACATTACTTTAGAAACCAAATAGCTATTGAATGCTCTCAATATCAGAAACATTGACAATCTTTCTATTAAAAAACAATTTCTTGATTTGTAAACAGTGAATTCTATTAATAAAAACATTAACTCAGAGCAGAGGAATTTCAGTCAAAATTATTCAAGATATAATATATCTACGGTTTATATGTGGTGGAAGGCTTGAATTTGTCTGGAAGTCTCCTTTCATACCATAGCCTGATTATCACACAGGTTTTTCCCAAGTAGCATATATGAATGGTTAAGAAATTTTTTATTTAAGTGGTGAGGTTTGGGAATGGGACAATTGTAATTCATAGGCTAGAATGTCTTGTAATACAATTTACTAATGCGTGTCCTGAGGGTCACATCAAACCATTTTCTTTTCATAATTAGTGTGAAAGCAGAACAAGACTATCACAAATTTAATTAGACTGGCCCCATAATTTATGCTGTTGAATATTTGCTGAAACAGTTAATAAAACATTCATGTACTCAAAATGTACAGAAGTAGCTTTGTGGCCATGTCATTGCAGCCTCACAGTTCCATAAAGATTTTTTTGTCTAAATGTGCACAAAAATATAGTCATAGATAGGTATAAATAATATTTTTCAATATTTCCCTGAATATCTTTCTGCTGGAAGTCAATTTCATTAATATTTGCCATACAGGAATTTTTGATACTAAACTTCCATTGAATGAAATATAAGCAGTTGTTTGTTGTTTTTTTGTGCTTTTCAACAGATGCTTTTGAAGTATCTGAGAAACAAAATAATCCCGTGTTTACCAAGCCAGGAGGAAATGTCACTTTTACTTGCCCTTATAAAATTGGAGATTCAGTGCAAGAAGTAATGTGGGAAAGGATTAAAGCAGATCAGGTAGATACCATTGTTTTGTGCAGCTCGTCAGGAAAGCAAAGCTTTGGTTCAGATTTCAAAGAGCGTACACTGGTGGATTGCTCTGATCAGGCAAACTCCATGATCGTCATTCAAAACGTTACTGCCTCTGACTTTGCAACATACCGCTGCGTAGCTACTGGAAGAAACAAAACCTATGATGTGATGAGTTTTACTGTGGCTGGTAAGTAAAGGAGGAAGTGGTAAATGTTTTTTACAATAGGATCTTCTGAGGTATTAACACTTTTACTCATACAAAATAACTCTTCAATAACAAGTGAGAATTTATTTAAACACCACATTCCAATTAGCAGCATGTAAAAGATAGCAAAGTTAACAATTAATCTTGTTTCCTCAGAAACAAACTGGTTTTAAGCTTGTTTGATCTCATTATAGGACTTTAGACCTGTTTGTGAGAAACTGGTTTGATGTTAGGACGAAGATGCTCTGGAAGAGGAGAGACTGACTGAGTTTGGAGGGAGAGGTGGGCATTCTCCCAAAGAAGCCACAAGAGGAATTCCCCACGCAGGGGGAATGCACCCTGCACCGCAGGGCTCTGGGGAAGAGACCTATCCTCCAACGAAGGCAAAGAGCACACTCTCATTTGAAAATGTAAAAATTTGTAAAATGGCCTCTATATTATTCATGTAAGGAGTTTCTTTAGGGGGAGCTGAGATGCTCTCTAGGTTTTGCTGTGATTGTTGTCACAGTTTGATTATAATGGGAGCTTAGGTCTCCATATGTAGACACTTAAAAAAAGATTTCTCAAACTGTGAGCTGAATCCCACGTTTATTTCTATTTTCTATTATGACTGAAAAAAACTCAGTTTTGGTTCTTCTCTATGGCACGCATTTTGAAGATGCAGTTCTTGTACCACCCCAGTCCTTCTCCTCTTGCAGCATTTGGTCCAGCTCTCTGGTATCTTTTGAGGGTACTGCTTTTGTTGCTGGTAATAAATAAGTGTTAGTAGACCCCTCTCTGACAGTACTAAGAGCTGTGGCATGGGGTATGAAACTTCAGAATATGCTTGACCTGTGATATTGTTAATGAGAAGTGGAGAATGTGCTACGGAAAAAAATGCTGACCTGCTTTACTCTGAATACTTGACCATAAAAGTCCATGAAATTGAGCAGAATGTGATGAAAAGAAAAGGCGTATCAGGAGAAAAATTCCTCTCACTTCTGACAATTTTAAACATTCAAATTTCAAAATGTTGACTATATTCATATAATCAAGCATATCCAAATTGTATAGCAATAGAAATATTTTCTGTTTACTCCAAGTGCAGTGCCTCTTATACCAAAATGAAAGCATGAGTTGCAAAAACATACAGTAAGTTTAAGAATTGTCAGTCCTCCCTACACAACCTATTTCTTCTCCAAAAAAAGAGTTTAGTTCCCATGCTTTTTTTGCTCTTGAAACAAATCCTACTTATCATTTTTAGTTTTAACAATGCCAGCATAGCTATGCCTGTTTATTGGAGAAAAATGGTCTGAAACCCTGAAGAAGCTGAAGTACAGTATGATTCAGAAAACACCCCATTGTCTTCCTTTTAAGCCCTCACTCCATATTATGAAACACATTTTCTTGAATTTTCATTAATTCCAAAGGAATTGAACTGTCAAGGATTTCCAATTATTTCTCTTTAATGTTTGGAACTGTTTCATAACATGTAATTAATATTTCCAGTGATATATGGAGAAACACTAAGGGGAAAGGAGCGACAGGCCGGGCGTCAGCTCCTACCACACCCTGTGGTAGAACCAGTGAAGTGGTTCTCACAAACTCACGAGTGACTTACTCTGCTTGATGCAACAGCTGTGGCTTGAATAAACCAAGTGGTGACAGAAACTTGCTACGCTATTTTTTGTGTATGTTCTATCAGTTTAGTCAATTCATTTTCTTTGGCTTCGCATTACAGCTAAGCCACACTCTAGCTTGGATTTTCTACCAAACTCTTCTAATGTTTTCAGTCTGTTGGTGTGATTCTGCATGGTTACTGCAAATCTTCTCCCCTTGCCCAGTTCCAGAGATGTTTTGAAATACTGAGTCTAGGAGCTGGGAGAGCAGTTGCACTGTAAACAGTAATAGAGAAAACTCTGTTTATGTTAAGAGAGAGTAAGAGGAAAGATAAGAAACTTTTTTTTTCTTTTTTTTTTTTTTTTTTTTTTTGAGAAGCTGTTGTTGAGAAGATGCCAAGAATTTTTAAGGAGAAGGAATCCTGGGTGAAAGGAGGTAGAAATAAGCTCACAGGATTATTTGCAGAACTGATAATAGTTCCAAAACCACTGATTCAAAGAGATGGTACAGTAGAAAGAAGCAAATTTCTTCTTTTCTAAAGGTTAATGTATTTTTGCAAGAAGAAACAGCATGGACTTCCTATGAAGAAAAAAGGGAGAGAGAGGGGAATAGGTATTCAAGTGTTGGGAAAGCCTGTGATATTCTTGCAGTTGTATTAGTAAAAGTTGGCATGCTGCATTTAATGTTTTTCAAACATCAGTGAAAATAAAACCATGAGATCCATTCAATATCATTAAATTTGTCTATTCTATCCCACTAAATATTGTGATTGTTGTTTTTCAGTAACAGGAATTTCCAGCTGAAATGGGTCTTCTGCAAATCTTTTTTGACCTCAAAACCTGGAACACATAAAGCAACATGTGTATGTAAATTGTGTAGCTTTTGTTGGACAACACTTACAGAAACAGGAGGCTGAATATAACATAATTATATAATGTGTTCAAGAGACTTTGGATTAATTTCTGATGCATTCTTCACCATACTTCTCCTTCTAAAAATTCTATTAATATGGAGATTGGTCATGTCACCAGATTCCACATCTGAATCCATTTCTGTTTTTTACTTACCATGCTTTTTCCTTTGATTAAATTTTATTTTTTCAGCATGTTTTTGAAGTAAGGAAGCAGACTTAAAATCCCTGCATTATTTTGGTAGATGATTGGGAAAGAAGGGGAAATGTCATATGAAAGAACAGAAAAATTAGAAGGGTTGAAAAAGAAATGCTTATTCCATCTTGAAGACCTAGCCATTTTTAGAAAGATTTAATAAGTATTTTTTTCTTGCTTTAGCAGAAAGTGGGATAGCAAGCTCTCTTAGACAAAGGAAAATAGAAACATTTTTTCTTGCACTGTGTTTTCACTAGATCTGAAAAACTGGTTAGTGGTTGTATTTAAATGTATGTTTAGGGGTCAGAATTGCATTATGGTTTGTACTAGCCCTTTCACCAGCTTTGTGGCCCTCCTCTGGATGTATTCAAGTACCTTCACATTGTTCTTAAATCGTGGGGCCCAGAATTCCACACAGTACTCAATGTGAGGCCACACCAACGTTGAATACAGCGGGATAATCACCTCTTCTGACCGGCTGGTTATGCTGTGTTTGGGGCACCCCAGGATGCAGATCGCCCTCTTGGCTGCCAGGGCACACTGCTGCCCCATACTGAGCCTGCTGCCGACCAGCACCTCCAGCTCCCTTTCTGCAGGGCTGCTGCCCAGCCACTCCTCTCCCAATTTATACTTGTGCCTGGCGTTACTCCGTCCTAGGTGCAGAATCTGGCATTTGTTCCCTTCATCCACTAGGCGGGTGACCTTATCGTAGAAGGATAGACAGGACTTTCCCTTTGTGAATCCATGTTGACTGTGCCTTTAAATTGCCCTTTAAATGTCCTTCAGTAGTACCCAGTATGATCTTCATAGCACCTAGATGAAAAGCAGGAGACTACTTGGCCAGTCATTGAGGGTTATCATGCAGTCCTTCTGAGCTGGGAGGAGACAGTAGTACTTCTGTGCCATAGAAAACAGACAGAAGTTAACGCTGCAGTCAGGGATGAGGGGAATCAGGGTAGGAGTGAAATTAGCTTCCCTTCTTCCTTCATGAATTCATCCAGTATGAACACAAAATATCAGTCCATGTCTGTGCGTCTCTACTCAACAAACCACCTTTCTCTGGTCATGAATGAATTCGTATGGATTTCTGCCTTTCAGTTGTGGGCAAAACCATTTCAGTGATGTCTAGTTAGCATACCATATGTGCCAGTCCAGCAAGGCATGTGACAAGCTACACTAAGATCTTTACAGTGCAGTTCAAATCTCTTGTTAGAACAAATAGCTGTCTGGCCCATCAATGCTTCCTCCTCAAAACCAAAGTCAGTGCACTGAAGGTCGAAAACCTTCACGCAAAAAAATTTCACAATCTTGCAGAGAAAATGCCAAGGCTACGAAGATGGGGGAGAGAGGGACACGTCTAACACTTAACAGAAATTGTACCGATGCTGAGAATACACTCAAGAGCCTCCCGTCAGCAAACACCTTTGATGAGAACACAAGAACGAAAGAGACACGTGACAAGCCTTTGACATGTTTCTGCAAAATCTTGAATGTTATGTTAAAGTCAGTAATTACAAAAGTTTTTCTATAGTTAAAGAAAACAAATGCCTCAGGAAGGCTTTGCTCACTTCAAATAAGAAAAAGCAAAAGGGCTTTGAGTTTTTTCTTCTAAAAAAGTATCTAATGATTTTTCTCATCCAAATTTAACTGACAGCTGATAATCTCAGCTCTCAAAGTCATTAACTCAGAGATTATTATCTTGGCCAGATAAAACTAAAGGTGAAACTTCAGGAAAAGAAAAAAGAGGTCTGGAGTGCTTGGACTGCAGGGTGGGGATGCTGCTGAAGTCTGGAACTCTATCCAGATTCAGCCATCATTGATGATAATTAAACACACAATTTTTAACAGAGTAGCTAAAATCTTAAAATTTCTTTGTTGCTTACAGGATGTTTTCTCCCTATTTCTGTAAACACTTACTGTCACAGATAATGATTTTCTGTGGTGGGTAGGCAAACACTTGGAAAAAAAGACATTATAATTTTTCTTGAAGTTGGACATAGCTATATGCACCAACCTGTTATTTTAAGTACACAGCAGTTGAAAACATGCTGGAAGTCGAGTGATTTCATATGTGATTATAGTACAAAAGACATCAATTTTTGTTATCAGGCAGCCTTCTCTATTGTGTCACATACCTTCAGCAGCACAAATTTCTGAGAGGATTTTCTTTCTTTTTTCTTTCCAGTAAAATAACATTGAAATTCAAGGATAAGAGTCCTTTGTGATCAGTATTTTTTTTTATCCTTTCCAGTGAGCATATTAATACTAAAGAGTATTAATACCTGAATCAGTAATACCTGAGTAAGTCTCAACTGGTATTCAGGATAGCCAGATGAGAAGCTGTGAACCTTTTTGATCCAGGAGAGAAAAGCCATCTGGCAATGGCTCAGTATCATTAGTGATACTGATTGTTTTCCTTTGCTTATGAACTGAGCATGTAACTTTCTTGTCTACCCAGAATGAAAGCTCTTTGGGGCAGCTGTGGTTTCATCTTCAGATACTATCTTTCTCTGTACAGTGAGCAGAACATTAAAGAGGGACTAACCTAAAGATAGTCCCTGTTCACCAATGAATTTCTAGTCTGTATCTGAAACACAAGAAACAAGTTTGTGGCCAAGAAGTTGGTAAGATCATCTGGCTAAGATGTGTCCTGATAGCTGGTACTGTGTCCTGGTAGCTGATGCTGCTAGCCACAAATACACTGTGTACAGAAGTGTTTATTACATACTATTTGTGTTTGCTTGCTTTTTGTGCTATTAGTCTCAAGTCTGAGGAGTGCTAGTGCAGAGATGCAACAGAAAAGCAGGAAGCAGGGCACTGTGATGGGCTGCAAAAAGTTGACTTGAAGTTCTGTGGTTTAACACACCTTTTTTTTTTAATGCTACCACTAACCAAATTCAGAATTGTGACAAGAGAAAAATTCACAAATGTTTTAAATGCATGATAACTGCACTGAGGATTTGTGTTGTGGACTTCCTGTGTGACTTTGAGTATATCACTACTTTTTTCTCCATCTTTTTTCACCTAAAAAATGAGAATAAGATTACATTACCTCTCCACAAGCTTGAGCACCACAAGAGTATATTGACTCATACCTTGAGGCCATCTTCTTGCCCATCTCTACCCTTTAGTTATTATATGTTGCTCCTTAGCTTCATTTGAAGATGTGACTCCATAGTGAAGAAGTGTACGTATTTTAAGCAAAATGACTATAAATGTTACTTTTCCTGCCTTAGTTGTAATTCTATAATTTTTGTTTAGGCTAGAATAAATAGGGTAGGTTTCCAGATATCCATCATCAAAGCATGTACAGTACTGGGTTATAAAAAAAAAAGCGATCATAATGGGAGAAATTTATGTGGAAATATATTTTTTAAAAAGTGAACAGAATTCCTTTTGAATTAGAGCACAAAATAACAGATACAACTGGGCAATATTGAATAGAAAACCTCTTGGACACTGAGATGATCTTCCTGGTACTCTGAAAAACGTCTTGTTGCCCATGGAAGTACTGCATGATTGTTAGGTATCTCTTATGGGACAAGCTTTACAATGCCAAGAACATTCACTTAAGTAGTCTGAGTGCTTTTATTATCCATATATTGAGTCACTTATGTATGCTGTTGGACTGTTTTCTTACCAGGGGAGGGAAGGAGATAGGAAAGAATTATACAAGGTGTCACTTTTTTTCATACCACTGTGCTGTGTTCACTCTCCCTTGGTCATCCCAGTCACAACTTTTGTAAGAGCTAGTTCAGCATAACAAAGGCATTTTAGAAATGAGGAAATGGTCATGAGGTCTGAATACTGAGCATGACCTGTCATGGAATACTATCTCTCCATAATTGTTGATTTTCAACTTAGTTTGTCATAAAAAGTTCATGCTGGTTTATATAAAATACTTATCATATTTATTACAATTGTTTTTTAGCAACTTGGGATCCCAAATGGTTTATTATCTACATAGCTGGAGGAATTTCTGCTGCCATCTTACTGTTAGTTTTCCTACTGATCTTCTGCATCACCACTGCTTATCGTAAAAAGTGAGTAAGAAACTAATTTGCTTGATATACTGAGGCAGGTAAGTATGATGGTGTTAACAGTTCAACCTACTATCTCCTTCAGAATCAATTAAAAAAAAGATAGAGGCGAAAATTTAATTTTCTTGCCAAAATTTTAAACTGGAAAAAACTAATCAGTTGTACAGCCGACGAAAAAAGCGACATTTTCCTTTTTTTTTTCCTTTTTTTCACATGAAAAAAACAAATGGCTTACTCAAGTTCCTTGGTCAGCTACAAGCTTACGGTGGTATTAGCTGAAACTTCATGTCAAGGATGACTTGTCAAGAATGACATAAGCCTAGGCATAGGCTGTTTTTGTCTTGTGCATAAAGGATAGGTGACATCTTGAAGTTTTCCAAATCTTCTAGCATTTTTTGTCTTTTGATTCTATGTTCCAAATTTGCTCACAGATGGATCCAGATTAATAGTTTAAACCATTATCTAAGTTTGCTGTATTTCTTGCCAAATATACGCTAGTGGCCTGATCCAGAATCTCTGCTTCCAATGAAAAGGAATAGTGAGCAGAAAAAATATTTCTTCCCCTACCACAATATATGAAGCTGCTGGAACTTGCTGGCAATATATTACTGCATTTGCCCCTGAATCAAAAGGCCTTTTTATCTGTGTCTGGGCCTTTATGAAACACTACCAATCTCATGCATGTTGCAGTTTGCAAGTCAGAGGAAAGACTACTTGGATTTTTATTGGTTTCAGTGGGAAAGTAAGCAATACCAGCATTCTCTCTTGAATGCTGGAATTAGATATTTTGGACTATACTATGGTGCAGGGTGCAGTTCCCTCCATTGTTTTTCTGATTGAATGTGTGTTGCCAGAAAGAAGAGGAAGAGGATCACAGAGGCCTTATCAAAAGCTTTGTACTCTACTCAGACCAGGGTAAGATCAGCTGGAGTTTACTCGTATTTCATATTGCATATTTCTTAACATCTTTCTCTTCTGTATCTGATCTTTATACCCCTTGAATCTTATAGTCTAATCTTAAACTATACAGACAGGAAAAATTGCATATTTTAAAGTATGATTATCGCTATTCACTTTTTTTGATTAATATTCTTTAATATTTTACAGCTACATTTAGAGACCTAATTGTGTTCCATATTATTAACAAATTAGCTCTTTTGGTTTGCTAGCTTTTAGATTATTTGTGTATTGTTAATACCTTTTTTCCTCAGGTCACTACTTGTAAAACTGAGGCAAAAAATTGTAACCTGTGATACCCTTTGTCTTTATCTATTTCTTCTAGTTCAGCTTCACTATAATTAGTTGGGACAGCTGTTTCAGCACTTCTCTTTTCTTTTCGTATTGTAACAATCAATGTTTTGGAGCTCTGAGTCTTCCCCTCCCTTTAATAATCCTATTCAAGGCCTGAAGTTTAGAAGTGGAAAGATAAGAGGCAACTTCACTGCTTCTGCCTTGTCTCTTCATACCGTAAGCTGGAGTATGAAGTGATGTGGTGCTTAAGGAAATGACCCCATTCTCACAGTTTATGTGAGACTCTAGCTTTCCACCTATCTCCTCTCAAATGGCACTTTTGTATGATCCAACAGTGAGCTCCACTGTAGATGTGTCCTTATAAAGCCCTTTGACCTCCTGCCGTTTCCATTTCTCTCATTCTGACTCTTGGGTCATGGTTTGTACCAGAATGAAGCTCTTCCTAGGGTGACCATAGGCTAGGGACTAGCCATTTGCTTCAGAAACTATCTTTCCTCCCATGCCAGTTCACCAAGGCACCATCACATTAAGTTGTTTTAATGACATGACTAATTCCTAGTGTGGTCAATACCTTTAGAGTAATCAATGTTTTAAGATTGACATAGAAGACTACTTATGTACCTGAAGTGTGCATGTGAGGGGAAGGGGGCATTCCACTGGTGCTTTACCAGGGACCTTATATGGGACAGCTGGGAAACATATTCAAAGTGCAACTTCTTTTTTCATATGACTTGAACCTGAAATGTATTCGTAGAAAACGAGAAGACAAACAATATTTTGATTGATAGTGACTATTTCCCAATAATAAATCAGCATATGAGGAAAATTTGCCATTTTTCTCCTTTTATCAAAGTTGGAGCTGTTTTGAGAAAAGTGCTTCAACAACTTCTTTTTTGTTTTTTTTTAACATTGTTCTAGTGTGCTAACAGTTATGGAAGATCCAATTTTCATGGCACATGGAACACAGCAAGAAGAGGAGAAGAATCAACACTCAGGCAGACAGAGGAGATTTACGTCAACTGCAAAAATGTTTCACACAAGTCTAAGAAAAGACCATTAGATTCCTTCTTAAGAATGAAGTAACCAAAGCACAGGTCTTATATTTGCAGCTTAGACTTTATTTTCTTTGTGCCGGCAAAACGTGGAAGGACAAACCGGCTGTGCTGAGCATTGCCTGGGCTGCTTTGGCTGGACAGCCAGCCTGGGCCAGGTTACACCAGGTGTGTCTGTGTTGTATTGCAGCCTGCAGCATTAACGTATCCTTTGATTTTTATGTAGAATTAAAGATTATTTGTACTTCTGCAATTTAAACATTTTTACCCAGTAGGTGTACTCTTAAGTAAGAATTTTAGAACAGCTCTGATATGCAGAATGGAGCTGTATACATTTACATAAAGTTAATTTGGTCTGAGAAATCTATGTGTCTGAGAAGCCTATGTGACAGTGTGAGAAAGAAAATGTGCACGGTGTTGTCTACATCCATGATTTTTGCATCTCAGACTGAGAGCTCTGTAGAACAATAAATATCCATGATTTTCCACACAGGAGGTGTTATTTTGCTGGTGGGCAAACAATACTATTCAGCTGACGAAAGCAAATATATCAGGGATCCTTGAACGTAGATTTAAACAGAAGCTTGCTATCTGACAGCTCTACTGTTTTACAGGCTTCTTGCCACTCACCACAGTTATTTCAGTGCTTTCTATTTGGGGATGGAATAGAAGTGTAGCTCCTGCTCTATTCCCTCTCTCCTTCCATCCCACCGGTCCCCCCATGCCCAGGAGAAAACAAAACATGAAGACTCAGTCACTGTCAGGTTATATTTAATAATAATTTATTATAAGGTTTAGTTGCACAAAAAATAAATGAGAACATGGAAGATACATGAATAAATGATGCAAAGCAGAAAAAAGCGTGATTGAGAACATTTACAAAACAATACACATACATATGTAGTTGTATGTGTGCATATGTATATATTCTGCTGAAACCTACAGAAAAAACCACACAGAAATTGAACAAACAGACAAAAAAATCCTTAAACAAACAGAACTAGAAGGCAGACCTGAGAATTAGGATCTACACATCTTTTGGCCTTTTACAAATCTGCTGTATCACTGAGGACGAAATCCCAGTAGATGAAGGTGTTACCATGATGGCTGATAATCATATATGTCTGCATACTACAAACTCTGTGCCTAGCCCACCTATGCTTGATTCCCCTTTTCTCTTGAAGCATTAGTAAAAGTGTCACTGAATATGTTGTTTTTTTTTTTTTTTTTTGAAAGGGCTTGCGGGGAGGCATCATGAGTCTCCCTACAGGTCAGTTACTGGTTCCACTTGGCTGGCTAGGAAGGAGCATCAACAGCCTGACAGTGAAAAACACATTTTGCATAGCCTTCTCCAATGGAAAGCTTTCTTCATGTGCACAGGAAAATAGGAGTCTAGGTTCTTCTGAGAATAATGTGGACACAAGGCTTCTCTGGACTATTTGAGCAATAATAGTGTCGTGTGGTTATCCTACACTTCAGCTAAAAATCTAAAAACCTAAACCAAACTGTCCTTCAACCTAGTACTGAAAACTTAAATTGTTTACAATGTCATATACCATTAGAAAACATCTCATTTTGGTTTTGTGTACTCCTGACACATACACATTGCAAGGGATATGTTTTTTTCTTTCACTTACTGAAAGTTTTCAGATATAGAAATGCTTGCATGTGAAGTTGATGAGGATACACAGAACTGTACCGTTAATAAGTTGGTTTATTTCCTGAGTTATCAAATGTTATAGCAGATAATTCTAAGTTGTGCACAACATTACAAATAAAACCCTGTAGCATTGGATTGTTTATTTGATGATCCCATTTATATTAAAATGCCAAAATAATAATGTAATAAACTTGGTTACACTGAAGTTCTCAGTTGGAACCCTGATACAGAAATATCCATAAGCTGAGAAGTTGGTATTGTTTCACTGCTTGTAGAGACAGTCAAAATACATCCCTACTTTACTGAGGGTAAAAAAGGGGGAGAGGTTGAGGTAAGTACCTGGAATACCAGATTGTTTTGATTATTTCTGGTAATGACCTTATTTCTTGCCTCCCTTGGTACTTTAAGCTTGTCTTTTCAAAATAATTGCTTATTTTTGAGATTTGAGGAAGAAAAAAAAAATCTGTAGTGCACACTTTTGCAGATATTTGATCTGTTTTAATTCAAATTCCATAGACACATTACTTCTACCAGGATAGTCCACAGGGAAAATCACATCACACATAGCATAATAAGAACAATATATTTTTTTCAAAAAACAAACCCAAACCAACAGATTCATTTTTGTACCATGGTAATATCAGTGAACAGCAGCTGAACATGAGACTGATATAAACGAAAATCGAAAAGAAAACAACCTAAAACTTATCAATATTCTCATTGGCTTAAAAACTAGTAAGCTACACACAAGAGAAACTTCCAAAAGTGTAATTTGAAATGTGATATTAAATATTTCATGAGTTAATGGCAGGATGGGACCCAGCAAGAGCCTGTTTGCTGTGATAGAGTTTGGATTATGTAAATAAATTTTCCAGTGTAAAATAGTATAAACTATTGTTTATTGCTGTTTATTTTCAATATTGTTCATAGATTTGCCTTTTTCTTTTGGAAACTTTTAGTTCCTTTTGAGTGAACTTCATCAACTGTAATTTGGAAATTTTGTGTTGAACAATTACTGTGCTATTTCATGATGTACCGCTTGCCCAAATAGTTAAGAGGGAGGAAAAAAAAAAAAAAGGAACATGACACAACTATGGATAGCAACCAGCTCAGCACACTAACTAAACTGTAAGATAATTCTGTCTTTTTTTGTTGTTTTAAGGTCTTAGAAAGTTTGCTGAAAGGAAATAAACACAATAAAGCACATTTTCATTAAAAAAACCAAAGTCTTAAATCGCTACCTTCTGTGTAACTGGAAAATGAATCTATGAGATTTTAAGAAAAGTGAAAACAGATTTCTTTTCCGTAATAATAAAATTCATCTTTTATGATGGGTGAAAAGGTAGATGTTTAAGTCCCATGTTCAAAGGAAAATTCCATGCTTAATAGTACTACTAAGTCTTTAAAGGGTGTAGACTCACCTCTCTTTCAAAAAAGAAATCAGAGAAAAAAATATTTGTAATCAGTCTTTGCTGCGGCTTCTGAATGTAGGAGAGGCAGTCACCAGAGTTTGGATCAACAGGGAGAATATTGAACTCAGTCTATGAAAGAAGGTGAAAGTTAGAACAGTAACATACATTATCTCCTGTTATTTTCTTTATTCATCTCAAATAAGTTCCTTTACCTCAAAGAGCTTCTCTGACTCTATAATACATTCATGATACTGCTCATTCTGCTCTCGCTCGCTGTGGATCTTGAGGTAAAACAACGTTTCTGTGAGGAAACAGCCTGCTTTAAGGGCTGGACCCACTAAGGAACACAAGAAGCTGGACTCCTCCAAACCCCCATGTTAGGCAGGGTAGTCCAGCACTTAAGCCTCTTTCTGACCTCCACCTACCCTAAATTCCCAGGCACTTTTCCTGTTAGGCACCTAAATTTTTTCAAGAACACTCAGAAACAGCTTGTTCTAACTGTGCTGTGCAACTTAACCACCTATCTCCTATGAAGATCTTATCCCGGGACTAGGGGACCAGAGGAGAGGACCAAGGCAACAAAGCAGGCAGAATAGTTAAAGTATAGGTGCTACCAGCATTTGTTAGTTTAATGACAGACGGATGCTAGCTTACTCCTGAGAGATCCAAATAAGAAACCTTACTTCAGAAAAAGAAAAGATTTCAGAGGATTAATCTCACTGTCAGATTCATTTCTAGGTGTTTTTTTTTTTTTTTTTTGGAGGGGTGGTGGTGATTTTTGTGTAACCATAAATACATCTGGGAACCAGGGCTCTGATTTTTTAAAAATTTATTTTTAAATCTTATCTGCATCATGTTCCTCTAAACCTTCTATGTTATTGAGCTATGCAAAAGCTCAAATTAATGGTATTTATTTACAGTAGCTGAAACTCTGCCTCAGTGAGTATTCCCCAGCGCAAGTGAAAGAAGACTTATTTCCTTTAAAGCCTAGATGCTCAATAGGAGTTAATCCCCTAAATGGCTTTAAGTCTGACACTAAGGGCTAGTTCCAAAAACAGCCCTGTCTGTCTACAAGATAGGTGCTAAAATGCTCTTTTAGATTGTGAACCCCAGGAGCAGAAACTGTATGTCAAGTTCTCAGACTGTATTATTTAAGGTGTAAGTAATGCAACTGAAAAGACATTTCCAACACCCATATGTTCCTGGGGAACTGTTTTGGGCTAGATGACAAGAGGCGCATCCATTGCCATGCCTCGCTGGGATGTGGTGTCAGGATATGTGTGGGCTCAGGGTGGCCCCTGTCCCTTTGACATCCAGTGCAAAGGATTCCACCCTGAGGCTAGAGACCCACAGTGGTCTTCAAAACACTAAACTAGACTAGACTTTTCACTGTCACATGAAATGCTGGCTATTTCTGCTACCACAGTCAGTTCATCCAGCATCCTACCTGCCAAATCAGCCAGGAAATGGAAGACCCTGGCCCAGTTCTCCCTCAGCCTGCATCAGACGTGCATCCCCTCTCCCCTGCCCTTTCCAGTCTCCCCCCTGAAGCTGGGCTCCTGTACAGAAAAAACTTATGTTTTAAGGACCAAGAAGAGCCTGCAGGGCTCAGTAGGGCACTCCTCCAGCGAGAGTGTCCTTGTTTCTGCTTTTACCCATAACTCTTTTTTTTAGTTCTTTTCTGAGTAAAATGCATTAAGAGCGATGAGAAGAGGATGAGCATCTGGATAACCATGGGACAAACACATGATGAGTTTGCCAACAGTTCCTTTAAAATAAGAGACCCTCGGGATCATTGAGATAGCCTCACCTGTGGGAGCTCAGAGACTACTGGAACAGGCTGCCACCATGCCACGGGACTGTGCCATTGCTCTGACTAGTTTCTTGAGCCTGATTAAGCTTGATTTATAAAGCTGTAGATTTACCTTACTATTTGTGTTATAGTCTTGCAGTTATATA